GGGGGGGGGGGGGGGGCGTTCCTGCCGCGCCGCTGCTCAGGCCTTGCCGTCCAGCGCGGCCAGCTGCGCCTCCAGCTTGTCCTGTGGATGAGAGAGATTCAAAGAATGGTGGAGAGAGGCGGCAGCGGTTGGCGTCCACCGGGTCGCGGCAGCACGGATTTGGCACAAAGGCCCTGGGCCCAGCCGCCGGCTAGCAGGGATATATCCTACTAGCGGCGATGAACGGTGAGGATCGACAGCCAGATTGACGCCCGTCAGATCCACCACCACGCTGCCAGTGTGAAAGTTACGCCTGAAATCACGCGTCTACTGCGCAAACAACAATCGTCGCATCCGACCTGGTCGGCGGCGAAGCCTGAGATGCCCTGGGCCAGCTTCTCCACCGCCATCTGGTCAGAGCCTGGGGGGTGCACGGTGGGCAGGTGGGGCACCGCAGTGTTGGCGATCGGGGGCGGAGCAGGGTCGGTGGTTGGGCAAGAGACGACAGCGCAAGTAGGAGAGACTCAAGCAGGGATGAGGGGCCAGAGGGAGCACGAGAGTGTGAAGGGCACGCACTTGCCAGCCCCAGGCGGGCCTGCTGCCGCTCACATCCACCCAGCTGAGTAGGCCGCGCACCATGCAGGGCAAACCGCAATCTGCACCCCCCAAATCCTCCATGACCTCTCTCTCCTCTCCCCTGCACACCCAAGCTACCCCCCCTGCCTCTGCAGATGCCTTCAGGCCCTGCATCCCCTGGGCCATCCCATGCACCGACCCCTCCGCCCACCGTGCATCTTCTCAAAAGTGGCCGCGTCGATGCCCTCAACGCGCGCGACGCTGCTGGGCTCGCCGTCGGGGCTGAGCATGCGCGGCAGCGGGTCGGTGCTGGCCTCCAGCTCGGACAGCAGGGAGGGCGCGATGGTGATGTTGTCGCAGCTGGTGGCGAGGTGGGCATGAGGATGCGGGGCGGGAAGGCATGGGGAGGGGGGGGGGAAGGCGTGGGTTATGACATTCTCGATCATCGGTGCGCTTAGCGGTGTGTGTTGATAGGGCCGGGTGGGGGGCCAGGACTTTGGGAC